AATAGTATTAATAATAACAACAATAACAGTAGATTATGGTACGTGTTAGGCAAATCTGTTTATTGTGAATGCTTTTGGTAAAGCTCCTTAATGCAGTTTCCTCACAAACACGCATAAACCAATCAGTTAATTCGAAAAGTGGCAGCAAAATTCAAAAAAGGCTAAGTGGTATTTAGCTACTAATGGCTACTAGAGCAGCCCCACTGCCAAGGGCTGAAAAATTATTTCCAAGTGGGCAAAGCGCAAAGCATCACTTGAATCATACAAACGGTCAATCGAATAATACTGCTACTGGATAAAGCGAAGTTGGGTTCTTGGAAGCAATTTGGTAGCGTACCCTGTGCATGATATTGAGGCTGTGCAAATAACTGACACCAGTAAACAGCTGATACATATAGTACCGTGGGATTTCATCATTCAGCGGCCGGTTGTGATCTTCGATTGCCAGTTTCAAATTGGATTCAACATATTCGATCACTAAGGAAACAGTGTCCGGGCTCAGAATCACATCGAATAAATGCACAACCTACAAGACAACAACTACTACTACTACTTCCTTGTTCTTAACGTCTTTTTTCATGTTATTTAAGATAAGAGGCACGTGTTGTGTGCGATAAACTCTGCATCCCACGACCAGCTTTAAATATCTTTAAAATTAATGTTTTAGGTGCTACTTTTGTTTTCTTTGAAGAAACCAGCTCGCTTTTGAAAAGGCTTTTAGCACACTTGAGAAATAAGCAGACATTTTTGTGAGTCGCATTTCGCATTGCAAATATTTCTCGTATGAGGTCGATCTCATTCCGATGACTTTTCTTCTGAGTTATTCGTTTGATCGCAACTTCTCTGCCGCTCTATAAAACACAGTTTGTTTTTCCGCTGATTCGATTTTAAACATCTCATCTCGAAAAACATTACACACTCTCGAAAATGGAGCTTCCAAACAATCACTTGTGCATTAAAAAGACTAAGCGTCCAGGCTAAATACTGTTTTATTTCTCACCGCCTTTAAAGTTCGTTAAATACTGGACAGTATCAGTCACCACTTATGTAAAAGCATTTTTTTAAGCAGTTTAAAGATAACCTCCAAATGCACTGCTTTCAAAACAACGCCGAAAGAGCCTCGACCAACGAGGCCGGTGAGCCTATAATCATCTTCGCAGCCATCCGAAGTACACAGCCTCGTTTCTGACATTCCTGCTTCTCGAAATGAACTGAAATTGCTGAGTTCAACTCACGCAATAAGATCGCGTAGCAGGTTGGAAATTTCTGGAATATATTGCTCAACAGCCTAACTTATTAATCTAAGCCATAATTTTGTTGTGGTGCTTGATAACGTTTTTTTTTTTTTCAAATATCCAGCAGCTAAGTGGAGGTATCTCTCGTATTAAAATCTGTTGCCAGAGAAAATCATAACTCGAAAAGCCTCTTGATAAAGAAGTAGAAGGACAAGCAGAATTTCAAGAACGGACTACAGTTTTGTCCTGAATCAGCCTAGAAAGCATGACGAAAAGTAATGAGTTCCAAACTACTTCCATTCCGTCGACTAGCGTACGGCTCCAATACTGTTGTGGTGAGCACCGTGCTGCGAACAGCTTTAAGAATACTGATGATGGAGATAATG